TACAACTGCACACCTTGTCATTTCAGCCACACATCCTCCTGCCACCCCCCCCCCCAGCTCTAACTCCCCCAATGTTCCCATTCAGGAAGCCTGTCAACCTGTCCCCTCTCCATCTGCCAGCTGCTGCCCCTATGCAGACCCCTCCCTCCCAGTGGGGGTCTGTAGGTAGCATGCTTTCCTTCAGCTATTCCAGTGACCACAACCAACACTCTTTGGAGGAAAATAACAACACAAAACTTATGTCAAGTATTTGCCATTGCAATGTGCCATTTGTATTAAGTGACTGTGAGAATTTTACAGGGACCTGGCTTCTTGGCTAGGGGGAAGGGTGCTCACTGCAGGAAGCCCTTATTCTAGGAGAAAAGGATGCATCATTCGGAGCTGCACAAAAATCTAGAGTGTTAAAATGGGTTCATTTCATACATTTAGTCATTCTCTTAATGTATCTGTTGACTAGCTTCTAGCACCAGGCACTGTACTCTAGAGTCTTTAAGGAAGGGGAAAAGGTGTTTATAATTGTCTTTTCTTTTCTGTCCTTTTCTTTTATCCTTCCTTCCTTTCTTTCTTCCTTCCAACAGGATCTTGCTCTGTTGCGCAGGCTGGAGTGTAGTATCTTGAGGACATCTCACTGCAGCCTTAACTCCTGGCCTCAACTGATCCTTCCACCTTGGCCTCCCAAATGCTGGGATTACAGGCATAAGCCACCCTGCCTGACCTGTTTATAACTTTTCTCAGTCATCTAAACTTCTAAAATTAGTCTTTCAGACTGTTAACTTCCAAGCATAGATGGTTGTTCCTGGTAACTAAACCAGAGGTCACTGTTTTTTTGCTTGCTTTCTTTTCCTCCCTCCCCCAATCCCCGGGTTATTTTTTCCCTCTCCCTCTCTCACCTTCCTTTCTTTTCTTTTTTCTTCCTTCCTTCCTTCTTTCTCATGAGGAAAACTCAAGCTTATCCTATAGTGTTCCACTGCCAATACATCATGTTGGTCTTGATGCCAAGATACTGTCTCAGTTTGCTCAGGCTGCTGTAACAAAATACCACAGACTGGGTGACATTCATTTCTCACACTCTGGAGGCTGGAAGTCTCAGATTAGGGTGTCAGCAGGGTCAGGTTCTATGAGGTCCCTTTTTCTGATGTGCAGAGTGTCTCCTTCTTACTGCATCCTCACATGACAGTATAAGGGCTCAAAAAATGATACCCCAAAATGAAGGGTTCAGCAGGAGCTTCACAAGCAAACATTTCACTCTGACCTTCTCTTGCCCTGACTCTAGTCCCTCATCCTCTCCTGAGATGCCACAGAAACTAGAATCCCTCTTCCTCAAGTCAGGTAACAGAAACCAGACCCCTCTTCCCCAAAGTCAGTCATATAAACTAAAACTATGACTCTAACTTTCCCACCACATTTCTGTGTAAAAACTAGCCACAATGAAATAATCAGACCTCCCTTGTTTGACTGTGAGTCATGAGACTCCCCCATTTGAAAGAGGATCCTGTCCCACACCCAGGAGGAAGGGTGTTGCTCAGAGAGGCCAGGAAAAATCTAGACAGACAGGACTTGCTGGGTTCCATATTCAGGCTGTGAACCTTGAATCCCACCCTTTTTGTCCAATCCTATTTCTATACAGCTGTCCATACTTTGGAACGTAAGCACAAAAGTGGACAGTTTCCCCTGGATCTTTGGATCTTCATTTGAAGGCCCTGGTGGATATACATTAATAAATGTGTGTACCAGCCGGGCTCGGTGGCTCAGCCTGTAATCCCGTGCCTTGGGAGGCTGAGGTGAGAGGATTGCCTGAGCCCGCGGGTTCGAGACCCGCCTGGGCAACTTGGTGAGACCTCATCTCTACAATAAATAAAAAATCAGCCGGGCGTGGTAGCGCGCACCTGTAATTTCAGCTACTCAGAAGGCTGAAGCGGAAGGATCGCCGGAGCCCAGCAGGTCAAGGTTGCGGTGGCCAGGAGCAGCCACTGCACTCCAGTCTGGGTGATGGAGTGAGACTCCAACTCAAAAATAAATAAATAAATAAATAGATGTGTGTACCTTTTCTTCTACTCATCTGCCTTTCATCAAGTGATTTTCAGGAAACCTTCAGAGGGTAATGGGGATGTTTTCCCTTGGCCCCTACAGCAGAGAGAAAAAGAAAGCAAGCTACCTCTGTCTTCTTATAAGGGCACTAATCCCACCATAAGGCTCTGCCCTTATGACCTTATCACCACACAGAGACCCAACCTCCTAACACAATCATCTAACGGTAAGGATTTCAACCTATGAATTTGGGGGGACACATTCAGGCCACAGCAATGACCTGTGAGGATTTGGGACTGATTGGTCTGACACTATCAAGCAACCACTCTATGATGGACACAGCAATGCCTAAATCTTAGCTTCTGCATGGAGAGACAACTTCTTATCTGAAATCCTTCTTACAAATGCCCATCTCCTGTCCCACCTTCCCAGCCCAGTAGGAAGGCAGGAAACCTGATGGGCGAACAAGCTTTTCAAGACCAGGGCAAGAGATAATGAAAGAATTATTCAGCAATACTTGCTAAAGCATAGTGAGAAAGACTTTATTTAACACCCTTGAGACAGATGTAGGGAGCCTGCAATAGGATGTTACAGTAGGGGAGAGAGATTAGGCTCAACTCCGATTGCAGCAGGAGCCAGCGGAGACCCAGAATCAAAGAGCAGATGGGGTCCATGATGGAAAGTGTCTAAAAGGAGACTTCAGGAGAGGGGGATTCCAGCTCAACCCACCCTCAGGATTCTTGCTGCTGGCATGCCAGAGTGACCTCACCTGGGGGTGGAGGGGATGAGAAATCACCCCAAAACATGGCTCCCTGGAATAAGGAGCATTTTGAATTAAAGGCCCTATGAGATGAACAGATGCTAGGAGAAATCTTTCCCCTATGTACATGAACACAGGACAGACCCACCGAAGAGAACAACTGTCTTCCCCCCTATACACCCATTATTCACATAAAGTCTGGACCCACTAAAGAAGAAAACAATGATCTCTGGTCCCTTCCCTGAGTTCTCATTAGCTAAACTCATGTCACAGGAAGAAACATTGAAGTCCATCCACACACCTGAGAAGAATTTTGTCACAAGTCATTGCCCACTTTGGGGCCCAACAGACTCTGTCCCAGGACATTGTCTATTCTTCAAGCCCTTTGAACTCCCCTAGAAATCATTTACCATCCCCTAAAATCATCCACACCTCTCCAGCTCATTTTCCCCTAAGAAAGGCATACAAGCATCTGCGCCCCATTGGGTACTTTGTGATCCTCACTGTATGCATGGTAATAAAGGCTTTTGTAAAGACTTTTCTCTTATTCATTTGCCTTATAGTGTGTTGATACTGCAGTCAATCATCTGAGAGTGAAGGGAAGTTTCATTGGCCCCACAGGAGCCTGACCAAAGTCTGGCCAAGCAGAGCTGTTATGAGAACTAAATTGAATTACGTATTTATTAAGTGGTTACCTAGCTCAAAGTGAGCACTCTAGAGATGTTTGTTAAATCAACCATATTTTAAAAGGAAGCAGACAAAAATCTTAACACAGAATATGTCCAAAGCAGCTCAAGGTCCCAGTCTCAAGATGTGCAGTGGATCTCAGAGAACAAACTTAAATGCAGAGGCGCTGCCTCAGTTCACGGGTTTACTTCCTCGACAGATGTCGACTGGGCCTCTGCCGAGAGCTGAGCTTTGTGGTCCACCCTGGACACTCAAAGTGCGAACCATGTCCTTGCCCTGGGGATTACAGCTAGCCCGTGTGCCAATGGGGAAGAGAGGCTCATCCGCTGCATGCGCGATGGAGCTGCCTGGGGCACAAGCAAGGCTGCTCAGCAGGGTCAGTTCTGGGGGAAGAAAGCAACCAGCAGGAATTAACAGCCAGGCACCCTGCAGACACCTTCACACATTAACTCTCAGCAACACCCTTGAGGCCTGACAGCAGCATTTCACAGATGAGGAAATGAAAGAGAAGGTAAACTTGTCTCCAGTCCACGGCTTCTCAGACTGCAAAGTGCCCACAAATCTTTTTAAAATACAGATTCTGACTCATTCCATTTGGAATGCGCCCCAAGATTTTGCTTTCTAACCAGCTCCTCACGTGACGCTGAGATACTAATCCCTTAGCTTCTTTGTTGCGGGTTAACGTAAACCGTGCAGGCAACTCGGAGACTAGTGCTCTATTAGACTGTGTTCTGATGGGAAACTGGGTAACTGCCAGCGATAACAGTGCTACCTTTCCGAGTGTTGGGAGACAGCTGAGATCTTGCAATCAATCACTTGGCATCATGGCTGTCACTTCAAAGGGGTTTTAGGGATCTTAATCTTAATAAGATTAAGGACTAACGTTTCATTTGAAATCCACTCAATTCCTTTCTCCAGTTAAAAATCTGCCCTGTGACTGGCTACACTTCTGATACCTTAGCTAATTTTCCATACTATTTTCTGTTTCCCAACAAACCGTTTTAATGTACTCTTGTACCTCTTTGGTCTTTGTGGGGAGAGGTGATGTGAAATAAACGGTTCAGGCAGTTGCAAGCGGTCATTCCCACCCAACCCCTTGCGAAATACGTCAGTTTCCCCACCCCAGCTGCTGGCCTCGGAAAGCGCTGCCCAATATATGTGCCTCACAGTCAGAGAATACCGAGATGCAGGCTCGTAACGGGTTTTTCATTTCCTTTTTAGCCATGACCAGAGTCGCTGCAAACACACACAAGAATCTCCTCCCGGTTTAAAACAAAGGGTTTGGACAAAGATGCGCAACCCGAGCTCCGACGCTCGGCGGACGTGCTCTGGGATTGGATGGACTGTTATCCAATAGGAAAGGAGCAGCCTGTGTCGCCTATTTACATAAATTCTTCCCTCAGGGCCGAGGGAGGCGAGATGACCAATCAGACGCTAGAGATTTGGAGCCTTCATTTGAATATAAAGATGACAAATAGCCCTGCCCGCCTGCATTCCCACTTGTCTCGGTGCCTCACTGCTCGCCATGCCCGAGCCCTCGCGCTCGGCTCCGGCGCCCAAGAAGGGCTCCAAGAAGGCTGTCACTAAGGCGCAGAAGAAGGACGGCAAGAAGCGCAAGCGCGGCCGCAAGGAGAGCTACTCCATCTACGTGTACAAGGTGCTGAAGCAGGTGCACCCAGATACCGGCATTTCGTCCAAGGCGATGGGCATCATGAACTCCTTCGTCAACGACATCTTTGAGCGCATCGCCAGCGAGGCCTCCCGTCTGGCACACTACAACAAGCGCTCCACTATCACTTCCCGCGAGGTGCAAACAGCTGTGCGCCTGCTGCTTCCGGGCGAGCTGGCCAAGCACGCCGTGTCCGAGGGCACCAAGGCCGTTACCAAGTACACCAGCTCCAAGTGAGGCGCGCCTAGCGCCCCGAACCCAAAGGCTCTTTTCAGAGCCACCTCCAAGCTCAAAAAGGAGCGTGCCACCTGGTCTGCCTGTGACCTGATACTCAATCGGGGTAATGAGGGAAGGTGGAGTGCGAAATGAGGGTGGGTATCCTGAGATAGAACGAGGCCCCCTGCGCATATGACCCATTTCCCTTAAAAAGGCTTGCTGGATTAGTTCTGACCAAATACAGAAGCTGGAGAGGGCGTAACCCAGGCAATTGCGCCTGGGGGGCGGTGGAGTGGGGACATCCAGAGCTCTGAGTGGGGCCTACATTGCGAAAGGAGCGTTGGGTCACCGGGGAAGATGCTGTGCCTTTTTCCTGCCCCCAGTCTCCTGGCAGGCGATACTGGAGGAAGCGTTCAGCTAGGCTTTGCATGTCAACGCGCTGTCCTGGCGGTGGCGCTTTCAGCTGTCCTTCCCGGCCCCTTCCCTGCCTCCTTTGCCACAACTAGACACCGTGAGCTTCTAGCCAAAAACATTTCCGCAGCGCTGCGCCTAATCAACTCTGCCATGTGTGTGTGTGTGTGTGTGTGTGTGTGTGTGTGTGTGTGTGTGTGTGTGTGTGTGTGTCTAGTAAACGGCGACAGATTCTCTTAAATAATGCAAACAGTGCTTTTTATTCCAGTAAATCATAGGCAAAATAAGTAGGATGTTCGCTGAATGGCACATTAGGTGACAACTAAGTCTCGCAGGCCTGACTGGAACCTTGGCTGTCCTCCTAAAAATTAACCCATGCTATTGTCTCACCAATCACAAGAACACCTGGGAGCCACCCACCATCCAAGAGCGAACCGTTGCCTGGGTTCCCACAGCTGGACAATGGCTATTCAACTCTACCACCTCTAGTGTCAGCCGGCGTTCGTCAACATTTAACCTCTCACTGCCTCATAAAGCATATCCACCGTCTTGCATGTGTAGCTTTTTTCTTAAAGGGACAGGGTTTTTTTCCCCTACAACTTCTTTTCTTTCTAAAATAGGCTTTATTTTCTAGAGCACTTTTAGGTCCACAGATTTTTTTTATATTGATACATAATAGTTGCACATATTTGAGGGTACATGTAGTATTTTGATACATGCATATGTGTAAAGATTGAACTAGGGCAATTGGGACATCCATCATCCCCAATATTTACCACCCTCTTTAGAGTAGGAACATTGCAATTTCTCTCCTCCAGTAATTTTGAACTATACAACACATTATTGTGAAATATAGTTACCCTACTGTACTAGCGAACACTTAATCTATTCCTTTATCTGTCTGCATTTTTGTGCTCAGTAACCAACCTCTCCTTCCCATTCCCCTTCCCAGCCAATCTACTCTCTGTGTCTATGAGATCCACCTTTTAGCTCCCATGCAAGTGAGAACATGTGGTATTTGTCTTTCTGTGCCTGGCTTATTTCACTTAACACAATGTCCTCCAGTTCCATACATGTTGCCGCTAATGACATAATTTCATTTTTTTATGACTGTGAATATATACATTTCTTTATCCATTCATTTGCTGATGGACACTTAGGTTGATTTCATATCGTGTCTATTGTGAATAATGTTGCAATCAACCTGAGAGTACAGACAACTCTTCAACATACTGATTTCCTTTCTTTTGGATAAAAACTTAGCAGTGGGCTTGCTAGATCATGTGGTAGTTCTGTTTGTAGTTTTTTGAGGCGCCTCCACACTATTTTCCATAGTGACTGTAAGAGTTTACACTCCCATCAACATCATTACTTTTTGTCTTTTTGACCAAAGCCATTTAACTGGAATGCATCCTTCCAAAGTCTTTGATGTACTCCATAATAATTAGCAAATTTGACTTGAAATTTCTAGGATGAAGGCCAGTCTCTAAAATGGGTTGCAGTTTGCATGCCTGCAAAAATTAGTTTATTCCAGAACATTAGTTTAAGGATTTGGCTTAATTTTTTTCAACCCAGAGAATGCTTCCATATGTAGAGTAAGTCTCAATGCCCTTGGCCTCAGTGGGTTCTCATATATTTGATGTGTACTGCTTCATTCAGTGTTGACATTTCCACTTGTCTTTGTCTGTTGTAACAATATAATTATAGACATGAATCCTGTACACAATTTCTCTCAGTTTTCTTGATTATGAAACCCCAGGAGCAGGGCCCTGTTTTAACTTCTCTGTCTTTCCTTTATCAAATTTCTGTCCACTAGAGGGACAAATCCACTCCCCACCCCCCTTTCTGGGCCTGGGGCTGCTGGTGTACCAAGTAGAGAAAGCATATTTGTACTTCAAACTTGTTCCAGAGGAGTCAGAGGACTAAAAAATAAATTGATATTTAGCATAATCCTCCACAAAATGTGTTCTTAGAGAATTATATTTCGAAAGTGTGATGATGTGTTCATTCCATGCCTTGATTTGATCAAAAGGATTACCTGAGCCCAAGAGTTTGAGATCAGCTGGGCTCAGTGGCTCAGCCTGTAATGCAAGTGCTTTGAGAGACTGAGGCTAGTGGATTGCCTGAGCCCCGGGTTCAAGACCAGCCTGGGCAATTTGGTGAGACCTCAACTCTACAATAAATCAAAAAATAGCCAGGTGGTAGTAAGCGCCTGTAGCTCTGGATACTTGGAAGGCTGAGGTGGAAGGATCGCTGAAACCCAGCAGGTAGATGCTGGGGTGGCTGTGAGCGTGCCACTGCACCCCAGCCTGGGTGATAGAGTGAGACTCCAACTCAAAAAAAAAAAAAAAAGAGTTTGAGACCAGCCTGGGTCTCAGGAGACCAGCCTGGGTAACATGGCAAGACCTCAGGCATGTGGTGCACACCTGTAATCCCAGCTACTCAGAAGACTAAGGCAGAGGGATTGTCTGAGCCCAGCAGACTGAGGCTGCAGTGGCCATGAGCATGCCACCACACTCCAGCCCAGACAGCAGAGTGAGATACCAACTAGAAAAAAAAAGTTATTGACTCTCAATCTGTGCTGGGAGTGAGGACTTGGATATGCTACTTAGCCAGCACCTGTTTCAAGGTGGAGAGGACCAGATTCTGTAGCTTTTAATACAAGTCCTATATTTCTTGAAAGGATTAAGGATTTCGATAGGCCCCACTTACTTTTGATGATATAGCACTGTTTCATTTTTAGAGTAAAATTAGAGAGGCAAAGAATTGAATAAAATGGCTATATCAAAATTTCTATTCCTGTTTAAATTTATTTTTGTAAATTTTTTTCAGAACACATATCAAACGAAAACAAAGGGATAGAAATGATTCTGCACACCGCTAGCATTGTAGCCATACCAACACTGTTCATGCCAATGCGTGCATGAAGAAATTGAGGCAAGAGAAAAGGGAAGGAGGGAGCATGCACCAGCCAGCTCCTTAAAGAGTCAATCTCATGAAAATTTTGTTCAATAATAATCTATTAAAACTTAACTATTTATATTTTAGATAATTCTGTACTGTCTAGATAATTTCTTAAACACTGAGAGACTTTTGGTTACCTAGTTGTATATTTAAATTTCCATTTACAGAATCTTCTGCAGGGAAGGGTAATAGGTAAAATAGTATTAAACACTGCATATATTATGATGGGATGAAATTCTGAGACACAGAGGGAGTAGAAATATGCATCAAGGAATTAAAATAATCATTTGAAATATCTCACTGTTAAAACAATTTAGTCATGTATTTTATGAATTGATTAAGATATCAAATTGATATTCCAACAGGCACCTTTAAAAGACTGAGGTGATGATTTTGTTTTTTAAAAAAAGCCTTATATTGAGATTTGCATCCTTACAACTATTGGGACTATTTTTTTTAAAAGCATTTTAGATGCCAACTTTAAAACATATGAGGTTCACAATTATTTTAGACTGGATCAACGCATGAAAAAAAGGGGGGGGGAGTGATACAGCCATTGTGGCCAAGGATGTTGCCTGGTGACTTTCCTCCCCAGCCCTGTTCCCCCCAGCCGGAAACGCGGCCAGCTTTTACTAGATTATTTTTTCCCCTGGAAAGCACCAAATACTCAATACTTCATATTCTCACAAGAGCTTGAGATAGTCATTATTAGGAATTCCCCTTTTATTAAAAAAAAAAAAAAAAGACAAAGCCAAGAAAAAGATAATTTTTGTCCTTTCCAGAGCGAAACCTCTTCATGTAAAAGCGCTTTTTTGCACCAAAATGGCACTCCTCAAACGAATGCTGTGAATTTGGGGGGGAGGGGGAACGGGATTTTGTGTCCCTAACGCTTTTCAGAAAACATTGTGGCTGAAGGGGAAGGCAGCTAGCTACATTTGCTCATGAAAAGGGTTTTCCTCTAAAATTGACCCCTCCCCCTCCAGGTCAACGCTACCGGCGGCAGGGGTCGCTCATTACATCCAGCTCCCGCACACAGAGGCTGCGTTGTCGCGCGCCTCGATGTCTCCTTCGGTCTCACGCGTCTGCAGCTGCGGGATCCTGTTAGACCGACATCCTCAGGCAGGTTCGTCGCCTGTCTAAAGATGTCTTTGGTCTAGGCAGGGCCACGGCCACCCTCACCCCTACCAGGGCAGCGTAACAACACCCAAGGCCTCCCCGAGCTCATGGACTAGCGCCCTCCTGGCCTCACTCATGAAGGAACGTGGACGGCGGTCCTTCTAGGGGGCGACCCGCGCCCCTCGCTTGCGTTGCAGAGGCTGCACCCGGCGCAAGTTCAAGAGCCAGGAACTCGTCCTCCGCTCTTAAGGACCTTTGGAACTAAAAGATCCTACTTTGCCTCTTGGCGCCTTAATGGTTCAGGCGGTGGGGGTGGGTCCTTGATCGCCTCCCACCAACATAACCGCTATTACTCCTGGTTAACGTGTTCACGCCCGATTTCTGTAATGAGCTTTTTTACATACACTCATGACTCAGACCCAGTCGTATCAACTAGCCAGGGAGCCGCTAGGACGCATGGAGACACATTAAGTTACGTAATAGCCCTTCACCGTGTTCGAAACCCTTTCTCGACAGTGTGGGGTGGCTCTGAAAAGAGCCTTTGGGTTCGGGGCGCTAGACGCGCCTCACTTGGAGCTGGTGTACTTGGTAACGGCCTTGGTGCCCTCGGACACGGCGTGCTTGGCCAGCTCGCCCGGAAGCAGCAGGCGCACAGCTGTTTGCACCTCGCGGGACGTGATGGTGGAGCGCTTGTTGTAATGCGCCAGACGGGAGGCCTCGCTGGCGATGCGCTCAAAGATGTCGTTGACGAAAGAGTTCATAATGCCCATCGCCTTGGATGAGATGCCGGTGTCGGGGTGCACCTGCTTCAGCACCTTGTACACGTAGATGGAGTAGCTCTCCTTGCGGCTGCGCTTGCGCTTCTTGCCGTCCTTCTTCTGCGCCTTGGTAACAGCCTTCTTGGAGCCTTTCTTGGGCGCTGGAGCCGATTTGGACGGATCAGGCATGATGGCGAGTCTCTCCAGAGAGAAGCGAGGAGCCTCCGAGCAACTCTATTTGTACCTCTTGTATTCAAATAAAGGATTAGGATTTGTTCGCTTCTGATTGGATCAAACTTCGTTTACGTCATCGCTGGGAAAAGCATACGCAAATTAGGCGAAGTCGTGCTCCTTTTCTGATTGGCTACAGTTGGTAACCAATCAAATGCCGCCGTCTAGCTTACCTCCCGACCATATATAAGGGCTCGCTGGGAGTCACCGCCCTCTTGTTTTCAGTCCTGTTTTCCGGTTGTTCTGGTCGTCTGCGTCGGAATCCGAGATGTCTGGCCGTGGCAAGCAAGGGGGTAAGGCACGCGCCAAGGCCAAGTCGCGTTCGTCGCGCGCCGGGCTGCAGTTCCCTGTGGGCCGTGTGCACAGGCTGCTTCGCAAGGGCAACTATTCGGAGCGAGTGGGTGCTGGCGCGCCAGTGTATCTGGCGGCGGTACTGGAGTATCTGACCGCTGAGATTCTGGAGCTCGCCGGCAACGCGGCACGCGACAACAAGAAGACCCGTATCATCCCGCGCCACCTGCAGCTGGCCATCCGCAATGATGAGGAGCTCAACAAGCTTCTGGGCCGCGTGACCATCGCGCAGGGCGGCGTCCTACCCAATATCCAGGCGGTGCTGCTACCCAAGAAGACGGAGAGCCACCACAAGGCCAAGGGCAAGTGAGGCCTGCCGCCCTCGGGGGCCCTTTGACGGACACCAAAGGCTCTTTTCAGAGCCACCTACCGCCTCGAGAAAAGAGCCGCACTGAGCCCGCAGCCCCTTAAAGGCTGATACCTGGCTTCCGCCCTCGCGTTTATGAGCGCGCGTCCGCGGTAGACAAGGGCCCGAGTGAGGCCCGGGACTCCGGGCACTGGCTGGGCCGCGCGTATTCGCGAGGCGGACAGCGGGTTTCGTTTACTGCAAGGGAATGCTCGCCCACAGGTGGCCACCCTTGTTCTTAAATCCCACCTCAAAACCCCTCCCGGGGTTTTAATCCAGTCCGCCCTGAAGATAATGCACAAGATTACTAGTGACTACTTACCTTTGATTCAGAAAGCTTTGCGTTTTCTTATGTCCTTATCCCAGGGACAGTCAGGTTGATTCATCTGGTATTAAAAGCAATTGCAACCTTGTAAAAACTCACCATTGAATTTTAGGTAAATTTGGGATTTCCATTTAAAGCTTAAGTTGAAATTGCCAAACGTATTTTTTATTTTTATTCATGTCATCCTTGTCAGCCAGGAGGGATTGCAAAGTTTTAGCAATGTGAGATTCACCAGTCAGGATTTAATTTATTGGGTTGGGAATGCTAAAGGTCAGGCATGGGAAGGGGTCAGTACTTTAAAAATACTAAATTATTAGATCTCAAAAGGAGGTGTAAACACTTTAAGAAAACTTAATTGTGAATAGAATAATGAACAATAATATTATTTAATTTTGGTTGGTCAGACATTAACCAGAGATCCCCTTAAATTTATAGCTAAAATCAAGAAACAAAATAATTTGTACACCGCATTTGATAAGGAAAACAAGATTTGTGATGTTAGCAAACTTAAATACTTTCAGAACCACAGTAAGGGGTATACATGTGGACTTCTAGGAAGATGACTGCTATGAACACTGTTATAAAGGAGGGTTGAGTAGTTCAGAGACCTCTAGGCAAAATCAGCAAAGAAATGACCATGCTAATAGCACCTGCCTCGTGGTAGAAGAGTTAATGTAGTTAATACATGATAATCTCTTAAAAAACACTCTCAGGGCTTGGCTTGCTAGCCCATTAGAGCCAACACTGGCGACTAGGCTTGCCAGCCCCACCGAATCAGCAACACTCTCAGGGCTTGGCTTGCTCCCCATCCCCCCACCCCCATTAGAGCCAACACTTCTGGGGTTAGGCTTGCCAGCCCATCAAGCTGACCCTCTGGGGCTCAACTAGCTGACTCATTGAGCGGACACTCTCAAAGTCCAGGCTGACCCGAAAAGTGGGTGATGTTAAATGTGGCTGCAAACAGAACTGTGGCTAATCCTACACAATTTATATTGCTGGTTTCAAGTACTTCTGATGGTCCAGACCCATTTGGGCAATATTTTTAAATTTTTTTAAAGCACTCCCCACTAAATCAGAGCTTAGAAAGCCTTACCCTTATTCCTGTTAATATTATCTGTACTCTTTTCATTAATTTTTTTCTTTCAAAACATGGATGATTGCTTTTGTTTTTTTCAATTTTTTAATTGATACATAATTGTACATATTTATCAGATGCATGGTGTTGTTACTATACGTATAATATAGTGATCAGATTGGGTAGTTAGCAATTTTTATTATAGTAATAGATTCAGGAATATTATATAATATATATTTATCTTACTAAAATGGGGTCTACCCAAACCAAGGCTTCCTGAACCCACAATCTGGAACTAACCACAAATCTGCTTGTCTTTAGAAAATATCCCAACTTTACAAAATGATTTGAAACAAAAATTGATACGCAACTGCTGCAACAGTGTGGATCTAAACACCACAATAGTCACAAACAGTACATATAGTTAGTGTAGGACATGAATGGGCACTGGTTTAGTAAAACAAAACTGTAAGGACTGACCAGGAGAGTGGATAGCCTTCCAGAAATAATCCATTATTTTTCTAGCAAAAGACTTCAGTTCCAGCTTAAATTTGCTTTTACGTGTTTCTAGCTCTGTAGGTCATTATATCTCTTCAAACCCTTCAGTGGTATTTCAGAAGAAAGTTTTTCAGAGGCTAAGAGTTTTGATGTTTCAAGTATCATCGTGGATTTCCAGATGTTTTTGTTTTTAGACAGGCACTCCCTCTCACTTAGGCTGGGTCAAGTGAGATCATAGCTCACTGCAGCCTTGACCTCCTGGGCTCAAGAGATCCTCCCACTTCAGCCTTCTGGGTAGTTAGGACTACAAGCACGCTCACCATAACTGGCTATTTATTTTTAATTTCTCGCAAAGATGGGGTCTTGCAATATTGCCCAGAACGGGCTCAAACTCCTGGCCTCAAGTGATCCTCCTGCCTAGGGCTCCCAAAGTTCTGGGATAATAGGCATGAGTCACCGTGCCTAGCCAATTCCCAGATTTAAAAAAAAAAAATTACTCAAATGGAGTATGAAGAAGGAGGCAGTATGTCCACTCTGGGTAGTATTTCATTTTTCACCTCTAAGAGTGAGCTGTTCCATACACAGCAACAAGCCACAGGGACTATTTAATTTTCAGCTAATTAAAATTTAATACAAAGATGTAGTTCCTCAGTTACCCTAACCACATGTGGTCAATGGATAGCATATCAGATAGTACAGATATAGAATGTTTCTGTCATCACAGAAAGTTCAATTGGATAGCTTTCAAGTCATCGGGTTTCAAAATGTAGTAAAATACCAAGCACTGCCTGCTTCGGTAAGAGAAAGTTCAACTTCTTGCAGGAAGAAGAAAGCAGAGTATGGCCCAACAATTCCAAGCCTAGGTATATATTCCCAAGAGAAATGAATATATACAGCCACACAAAAACTTGTATAGGAATATTAATGGCAGTATTATTCATAATATTCAAAAGGTAGAAACAACCCAAATGTCCATCAATTGATGAAGAGATAAATACACTGGAGTCTGTCCTCAACTGTGGGCTTTTAGTCAGCCATTCAAAGAGAATGAAGCACTGACTCATGCTACAGTGGGAACGAACCTTGAAAACATGGTGTTCAGTGACAGAAGCCAGACACAAAATACCACAGAATGTGTGATTCCTTTCATATGAAATGGCCAGAAGAGGCAAATCCACAGGGACAGAAAGCAGATTCGTTGCCAGGAGGGAGAGACAGAAATGGGGAATGATTGCTTAATTGGGTACAGGACTTCCTTTGGGGTGATGAAAATGTTGTGCACAGCATTGTGTGTGTACTGAGTGCCCCTGAACTGTTCACTTTAACATGGTTCTTGCCATGTTGATTTCATCCTAAATTTAACAACATCTGAACCTATTAGATGAGTGTATACTAAATAACAATAAGAATCAGAAGGACAAGAGAAGAGCAAACGAGGAAATCTGGATTCCAGAAGGGCCTTGGAGGGAGTAAACCAGATGCCCAAGAGGGGAGAGGTCCATTCTAGTGCTTTCCGGGACACTGCTGACCTACTTTGGGTATAATGAGGTAGACTGGCACTGCCCGTAGCCCACCAGTGGCAGTCACTGAGACCATGTGGAAAAAGGTGTTGGGTCATGCCCTGTGGCTGTGGGAATTCTGCCACTGTGTTCTATGGGAGCATTGTGGGCTTTCTTTAGCGGACTGTGTTAGCGACACCCTCACCTTCACCAGGAGTTTTCTGGTCACTCTCCACACATCTCTGTGAGCAGGCATTTTATCAAGGAAGATGAGAAGAGGAAATAGCAGGTCCCAGAGGGAGAATGTGACTCTAGCCAGCCTTGTAAATAACCCACACGGATGGAGTTCACAGTTGTACAGAATTCTCTGGGGCTCCGTCACTCCCTGCATCCCTCTCCTCCCCTTTTCCGAGCGTAGGTCTATCCCCTTGCCCTGCTGGGTCAGGTCCCGCTTATTCAGCAACATCTACCCACTCAAGAATCACCTGATGTTTTAAATTGACCATCTTCCCCCAGTTTCTGACTCCCCTGAGGATCTGAGTTAAAGTGGTCTATAGGTGGAGGAGTGATGTCATTCTTTAGGAAAATGGCTTGGGCACCCTGCTCTGACTTCTGTCCCATGTGAGTTAGTCAAGCTTGTCACAGTCCCCATCCGTACACCATCCAGTCCCATATGGCCCCAGCTCTGGTTGCCAGAGTCGCTTCCCGCCTTCCAGGAAGAGTCTGCTGTTTCCTGCGCTGGTGGCCAGGTGTGACACTGCTGGCCCATCAAATGCTCTGAAGCTGCATCTGTCCTGGCCTCCACCCGTGTCCCCTCCTGGTCAGCCTTGTCCCACTGACACCTGGTTGCAGTTGCTGCTGCACAGGTGGTGGGGGATGCCAGCTCCATAACACTGTGCAGCCTCCAGGTGGCTGGCAGCCACCCTTCATGGGGTGCTTCCCTTGGCCCCCAAGCTACCTTTGTCATCCTGTGGGCTTCGGCTTGCCTTTGGCCCTGGATGGGCCCTCTGTGTCACTTGCTGGCCAGGTCCTTCCAGGTCTCTCTTGCCAAATAACAAGCCAGTCCAAAACATCATGCCTGGGGCCCTGTGGGGCTAGGGTGGGAGCTGGGCTCCTGGACAGCAGGTGGTTGGTGAACAGGCTAAAGTTGGTTCAGGGGTATTAGCTACCAGGTAGGGTCCAACTGGGGCATCAGTGGGAGGCCAAGAATGGCCAGTGGAGGGTCAGCTGGTGGGTCAGAAATGGGTCAGCTGGAAGGTCAGGGACCAGTCAGGAAGGGAGTCAGATATGGGTCATCTGTAGGATCAGGGTGACTTAAGGATGGGCCAGCTTAAGGGTCATGGGGGAGTCAGCTGGAGGGTTAAGGAGAGGACAGGAAGGGTCAAGGATGGGTCAGGAAGTAGTCAGCTGAGGGTTCAGGGAGAATTCACCTGGAAGGTCAGGTCAGACGTCAGTGATGAGTCAGTGGTGGGTTGATGTGGGGCCAAGGACCCCCAGGGTCCCACCTGGAAGTTGCACACTCTCCCTCAGGCCACATGATCGGGGTCAGAAGTCATGAGGCCAGCTTGACTCAGGTTGCTGAGAGACTGCCTCCACTTCCTTATGTTAGGAGCCACATGGCCATGGGTGCCTGTGGGGGAGGGGGGAAGTGAGGGTGGGGAATCTCTGACATTGCTGCTGCCCACATGTCCTGATGGCTTTACCTAGAGACTTCCTTTTTTCTCATTATTTCATCCAAACCACTACTACAGTGAACCCCAAGCCATCGATGGCAGACATCTTCACTGAGCTCCACATGTAGATGCACCTGCTTGCTATTTTCACCCATTAGAGGAGACCTGACTTCACTCTGCCTCAGAATCCCACAAAAGGGTTTCCATTCCCCCATGCCCACCTCCATGTTAGCACCTTCCCCAGTCTTCCCTAGCCCAGGAATTGGTTTCACCACCCTCCAGTTATTCATTTAAGTAAAACAGACAAAAGCAGTCCATGCAGGCTGCTATAATAAAATCCCACAGAGTGGGCAAAAACTGATAGACAGCAGAACTTACTGCTCACAG